TAAACTAACAAATAGAACATACANGTTTTTATAAACCAACAAATAGAACATACAGTTATAAATTCAGATTTTATAAACTAACAAATAGAACATACAGTTTTTATAAACTAACAAATAGAACATACAGTTTTTATAAACTAACAAATAGAACATACAGTTTTTATAAACTAACAAATAGAACATACAGTTTTTATAAACCAACAAATAGAACATACAGTTATAAATTCAGATTCTATTAACCAACCAATAGAACATACAGTTTTTATAAACTAACAAATAGAACATACAGTTTTTATAAACTAACAAATAGAACATACAGTTTTTATAAACTAACAAATAGAACATACAGTTTTTATAAACCAACAAATAGAACATACAGTTATAAATTCAGATTTTATAAACTAACAAATAGAACATACAGTTTTTATAAACTAACAAATAGAACATACAGTTTTTATAAACTAACAAATAGAACATACAGTTTTTATAAACTAACAAATAGAACATACAGTTTTTATAAACCAACAAATAGAACATACAGTTATAAATTCAGATTCTATTAACCAACCAATAGAACATACAGTTTTTATAAACTAACAAATAGAACATACAGTTTTTATAAACTAACAAATAGAACATACAGTTTTTATAAACTAACAAATAGAACATACAGTTTTTATAAACCAACAAATAGAACATACAGTTATAAATTCAGATTCTATTAACCAACCAATAGAACATACAGTTTTTATAAACTAACAAATAGAACATACAGTTTTTATAAACTAACAAATAGAACATACAGTTTTTATAAACTAACAAATAGAACATACAGTTTTTATAAACCAACAAATAGAACATACAGTTATAAATTCAGATTTTATAAACTAACAAATAGAACATACAGTTTTTATAAACTAACAAATAGAACATACAGTTTTTATAAACTAACAAATAGAACATACAGTTTTTATAAACTAACAAATAGAACATACAGTTTTTATAAACCAACAAATAGAACATACAGTTATAAATTCAGATTCTATTAACCAACCAATAGAACATACAGTTTTTATAAACTAACAAATAGAACATACAGTTTTTATAAACTAACAAATAGAACATACAGTTTTTATAAACTAACAAATAGAACATACAGTTTTTATAAACCAACAAATAGAACATACAGTTATAAATTCAGATTCTATTAACCAACCAATAGAACATACAGTTTTTATAAACTAACAAATAGAACATACAG